GCGTCTGGAATATGGCGTTTGATTTGAATCGGGACCTTCTCCGGTGCATGATGATGATGACGGGTTGAATTGGAGCAGAGGCAGTCGTAACTTTCCGTTGACGTCGCGTGTGGCGCGGTTGCGTCAACCTGGCGGCTGTTGAGTGGGGCCTTTCCCCACATTATCGCTTGTTCGAAGCGCGTGCAATGACGAAGGACGGCGAGAACACTGGCGGGATACATGGCTGGGGAAGGACGATATGCACGGCGACTGAAGTGGAAGGTTCGCTGGCGGCTAACAGCACGGTTATGGTAATAAATGACGATCGGATTCTTGGAACCTTCGCGGGGGAGCAGACGAGCTGAGTGCGGGTCACTGGGATATGGCGGCTGGCCGTCGGCGAGGTGCGCCGGAAGAGGAATAATCTAGCGCTTCTTCCCTTGAGACACCGGAAATTCGTTGACGCCTGACCAAATTTTTATCGGGCAATTGAGGCTCAAGACGACCACGGTCATATAAAATGAGCGGTAAATCATGGTCCAGCCTTAGGCGGCCTCTTGTCGGTGTCTCATGGTGGAGAGGCCGCTCTTTGGCATACTTATTCGCGCCATTGCCCCCACTCCACTCGTTATTCCAAGGTCCTTATTATGCTATAAGCATTGAACACGAATATCTCTAGGGCGTTGGAGGTTGGGCTGCGGTGGTAGCAGGCAAGTTTTCCTCCTGTCTCTTACGCCTTTGCGGGGCCAAATTACCAACGCATCTCCAGACACTGTCCAGAATCCCGTACCCTATAGGAAATACTCACCGAATAGCGCTGTTCAACTTCATTTTCCCCGGCAAACGTTACTCCAGTCTGCGAAGGGAAAGGATTCCTAGAGCATTACAGATAAAAAGCTCCAATCCAGGAGCATGCTTCCGCTCCATGCATCTGCGGCTCCTATGGAGGTGGTGGCCAGCCATCCGACTTGACTGTGGGCCAGGTGCAAGCCTGCGTGTCTTTGCAGTGTACGTGTGGAACGTCTCTACTACGCACAGCCTCATATTTTTCTTCACCGCCATACGAGCCACGTTTGCTTTCATTCCTAATGGTTGTGCAGTCAGAGCACCTTTATGGGCTGGTTGGAGAGGTCTTGATTGGCAGCAGGTGACACCCACACAAAGATTTTTACCCGAGTGCGAATCGATATCTTGGGCGACAATTGCCATGATATCACCCTTCTGTCCAAGTTCGGCTTGAGATTTTAGCATTTTTCATCGCATTTCCTCCAGGAGCCAAGGAAGTGTACGAGTATTCTGCAAGGTACGACTTCATCGTCTTTTGCCCGGTCATGTAGCGTGTCTGTGCGCTTACACTGTGGAGGCCTTGAGCTCTTCGCGTTTAGGCAGGAAGCGGCGACGGCCATTCCAGCCGCAAGAGTGGATTTCGGAATTCTACCTAGCCGTAGGCAGTAGCATCCTCTAGTTAGGATCGTGTGGAGATCAGCAGTATAGATCCGTGTCGACAAGGAAAGACAGAACGTCGTCTACTTCAGCGATACCATCTCGAATCCTCCCAATCCCCTCGAGCCCAGAGCAAACTTCGTTCCTCGCATCAGCGCCATCTCGGCCGATGATATTCGCCCCCATACCTAATACATTTTCATGAGATCGCAAGGCGGAGGTGCCCGCAGTGCACGATTTAGCCTCCCTTACCTGCTCGGAGAATCCGCCACGATCCCAGTTTGCCCCATTCCCACCCGCACCCGACGCCTTCACCGCGACGACAGCGACTCAGCCTCGTCCGAAGGCGAGGAAACAACCGGCATGATAGGCGAAGCCAAAAATTTCCTTCTCAACGGGCCGGAAGACAACGACGAAATGTCGATCGACATGTCGAAGAACGGCGTCGTGACACCAGCCACCGAAGCCGAAGTGCCTACCGGTGAACCCGGCCCCAAAACCAACGGCGAGCACATGGAGGCCGGCATGGATTGCAACATCAAGAAGCTGTACTCGGGCAAGGAGGACAAGCGCGGCCGCTTCCAGTGGCAGACAACCCCGCCGGAGGACGTCAAGGACCCGGTTGAGAACTCGGAAACAGCCAAGTATGCGCTGCTCGTGCGCAATACGAAGGTGTACAACAACCCACGCAAGACCATGGCCATCCACTCCATCGTCGTCCAGTCGCCCTTCCTTAAGAAACTGCTCCAGAACGTGCTCCGCGACTACCCGGGCATCACGGTGAACCTGCGCCGCCTCGAACTGGCGGGTAAATTCGAGCCGCTGATTCATCGCTGGGGCCGGTTGAAAGAGGCCATCTCGAAGCTCGGCGACGAGACCGAGGAAGAGATCGAGACGAAACGCCACGCCGATTTGCTCTTCGACGTCCTGGCGACTGAGTTCAAGGACCTGATCGACTCGAGCCAGGACATGATGAGCAAGGGCGTCATGACCTTCGAGTACCTGTGGACCATCTTCCAGCCCGGCGCGCTGGTGTACACGCGCCAGGATGGGCAGGACACGGCGCTCAAGCTCGTGAGCGCCAAGTACGGCATGGACTCCAATGGCGTGCCTGTGCTGTGGCTGTCCGGGAAGTATGTCGACTGGGATGGGTCGCGGTTTGGCACCAACAAGATCAACATCAAGATCGGGCAGTACGCGGGCACTCGCAAGATCGCCGCGCTCAACGCCCTTCCGCTCGAATACCATCCCGACCGGGAGGCGTTGCGGGAAAGGCTGGATGCGCGGGGCAAGCGCGTCGAGGAGCTGGCGGGCTCGTACTACAGGCAGTACCACGGCGTTGGGTGGAAACTGAGTCCATTCGGCGGAAAGGACAAATACAACATCAAAGGGCGTGTGGTGATTGACACCTACGGATGGAACCGGTTCAACCCGAACAACGCCATCTTCGTCTCGGCCCTGACGGCCAAGGACCCGCAAGCGATGCAGATCGGCGAGAACGCTGAGTCGCTCGGCGACGACGGGTACGAGGATGACATGGATGCGGATGACGGGGGCATGCCAATTGACGGGCACTTTCTGGACGAGGACGACGCGAGCAAGCGCATGCCGCTTAGCGTGGAGCAGCGCGTCATTTGCACGCCGCTGATCCGCGGGTACAGCCTGAAGACGAAGCTGTGGCTCAATTTCTTCGTGAACAGTGTGTCGGATATTACGTGGAATAAGGGCGCGTTTGACCGGCTCGTCCTGCCGGCCCAGCAGAAGGAGCTGATCCTTGGCTTCACGGAGAGCCAGAAGAGCTACAAGGATGGCTTCGACGATATCATTGAGGGTAAGGGGCGCGGCATGATACTGCTGCTGTGTGGCCCGCCGGGCGTGGGCAAGACGCTGACGGCTGAGTCTGTGGCTGAGGAGATGCAAGTGCCGCTGTACATGATGAGTGCGGGCGATTTGGGGCTCGATCCGCGCACGGTGGAAACGTCGCTCAAGGACATCCTCGAGATGTGCACCAAGTGGAATGCCATCCTACTGCTTGACGAGGCAGACGTGTTCCTCGAGCAGCGCAGCTTGCATGAGCTTGAGCGCAACAAGCTGGTGTCTATCTTCCTACGCGTGCTGGAGTACTACGAAGGTGCATCCTAACTTCCCCAAAGCTCGCTCCATACAGAAGCTAACCCCGGCACTAGGTATCATGTTCCTCACAACGAACCGCGTAAACACCTTCGACGCCGCCTTCCAATCTCGCATCCACATCTCCCTCGACTACCCCGAGCTAAGCATCGAATCGCGGCGCACCGTCTGGTCCAACTTCCTGACCGCCAGCAACGTAGAACACACAATCAGCACCGGGCAGCTCAACGAGCTCGCGCGAATGAGCATGAACGGGCGGCAAATCAAGAACGTGCTCAAAACCGCGCAACTCCTCGCGCGGCGCAAGAACGCAAAGCTCGGGCACGAGCACATCACTGCCGTTCTGGACTGCACGCAACATCTGCACAATAGCACCCGTGAAACAGAGCGTACTCGCTCGGCCATTTTCTGCTGAGGCAGGGGCGGGTGGGCAGTGCTGAGTTATAGGAAAGAATGATGATGGCGCCGGATCTACCGGCTGGTGTGTTGCCTTTTTCTCGTTAGGTGAAGATCGAGGAACTTGGATTAAATGCACTGGCCCGGCCCAGTGAGGAAAAGTGAAGATGCGGGCTGGCGGATCCGGCGCTAGTGAGCGTATAACGGACGGCTAGCGAATCTTAGGCTTGAGCATGCGGCGTAAAATGAGGCATTCAACATGCGGAGGCGCTGCGGGGCGGCGCGTCTGCGGGTTCTTTTGGAGATGCGGCGTACGAGTTCCATATTTCACGATTCACGATTCGCGAGGAGCTTTGGATTTTTCTTTGGGCATGTTACGTATATCTGTACCTTGTTCAACACATCTCTAGGTAAGGTTTTTGCTCACTGTTCGGGTTAGTTTAGCCAGCCTCTGTTTCTTTTTCTAGCCTCTGTTGCTGCACCATTCCAAATGCATTCTGAGCTCCCTGCGAGCATTTCGAGATTTCTACCCTGTGAAAGTGCAGCGAGCTGACATCACCACCCCGCGCCCACCCCGCTCCCCAGCCTGATACCTAACCCACAAATGCCCACGAGTCATGCCCCGACGCAGGAGTCCAAATCCGACGATCTGAATCCATAACCGGCGATGGGCGTCCTCCGAGCTGAAACCTAGTCTCGATTGGGAACGGAGCGCTTGAAGGTACCGTACAGTAATGGTGGCATGGAAACGATATCCTTGCACCTTCCGCGATGCGGTTATTGCTGGGCGTGTTAAATGAGGGTGGAAGACACAGGGCAACTGGTTTTGGTCAGGGAAGGATGGAAGCCTGGCGCACTTGTTCTAGTAGTTCCTGAAGGAATATCTCTTGACACACTCCTCCGTGCCATTTACTTGTCCATCTCTACGTCATCCGAGAAAGCATTCCCATCTTTTGGACGCATTAATTTTAGTGTCCACAATATTTGCTGCGTAAGAGGGAGTCCTCTAACAGCGGACATGTGGTCATCAAAAAGACAAAAAAGGAAATTTACGAGCGACCCCGGACTCGAACCGAGAACCTTCGCCTTTCTAAGCCAGTGCAGGATAGGAGGGCGACGCGCTACCATTGCGCCAGCCGCCCATTGACGGCAGTGCGGAATGCTTACGCTTTCATCATCACCGTTTCAGCCAAGTCAGGAAGGACCCTGGCCTTGATCGGCTAAAAGGAAGGTGATGCACTTTGGGGACAATCATCCACGCCAGTATCAGTGGAGACATGTGTCTAGACGTTGATATCTCAAAAAACTGCCTGTCCGCAATTACAAAAGGTACGCGCACATCGTGACGCACGAGCCCACAAGGCTGAACCAGCCCACCGCATCCCGAAAAAAAGCAACCCAACCACCCAGCGCCCCTACCCATACAACCCAACCCCCCCTTACCGGCCAAACCTCTTCAATTCAATCTTCCGAAGCACAAAATAACTCGTCGCCGCAAACGCAAACGCAAGCTCAAACCCCACATCCCCGCCAAACGGCGCCAGACCCGCATGCAACGCAATCGGCCCCACAAACCACACTTGGCTCATCCCCGTCACCATCCCCGCGACGCCGAAGCAGAACGCCGCGACGGCGGCGATGCCTGGCGGCAGCATGCGCGCGTCGTCGTAGTGCGCTGCTACGTACCCGCCGAAGCCGCGGCGGAACACGAAGTGCTCGGTTAGCGAGATGCCCTCGTAGATGGCGAGCCAGTAGCCGATCATATCCCTAGCGCAGGGGTTAGCACGGGCTAGGGAGAAAAGGGAGAAAGGGGGGCTTACATGAAGTTCTGGAGCACGTCCTCGAAGCTGTTGTACCCGGGGATGGCGATCGCGATGTATGCGCAGGTCCCGATAAAGGTCCACACGAAGCGCGGCACGCGCTGCGTCCACCGGCCCATGATCTGCATGGTCAGGGCCACGGAGTAGATGTTCGGGATGTTGTTCGCGATGATGCTGAGCGCGAGGAGCACGAGGCAGAAGCGGCCGAAGCCGTGCCCGACGCCCTTGAACAGCACGGCGGCGAGGAGGCCGCCGGTGCCGGACGCTTTATACCCGTCCATGTAGCGGTTGTTGCCGTCGTTGGCCGTGGTCGCGGTCATGATCGCGATGCCTAGGAACTCGGTGAAGAGCAGCGGGAAGATGAGGCCGAGCCAGGTGGACAGGAAGATCTTGCGGCGGCTCGCGGTCGCAGGCTGGTACACGGTGTAGTCGGCGGCGTAGCTAGTCCATCCCGTCGCGAAGCCGTAAATCACGGATCCGAAGCTGAGCACGGAGCCCATTTCGCTCTTGCCCACGCCCATGGGGATGTTGATGAAGTCGCCGGTGTGGGCAAAGCACCCGAGGACGATGAGGAAGATGATGAATGTCGGGATCCAGCTGTAGAACTCGTAGGCGTGGACGACGCGGTACCCGAACAGGCAGATGAGGAAGGTGCACACGGCGATGATGACGATGCCCGCGGCGCCGGGGACGTCGTTGTTGACCGCGTGGATCAGTTGCGCGCCTACGATGCTGTTGACCGCCGACCACCCGATGCAGGCGAGGACGTTGAACACGGCAATCAACTTCACCCCCCACCATCCGAACCAGAACCGGGAGAGCACCATCTGGCGCAGTCCGAACCTTGGCCCGAAACTCGAGAAATAGCACACGGGCAGTATGCCGATGAGGTTGAAGAACATGCACGTGAGGATCGCGTCGACGAAGCCGAGGAAGAAGAGTTTTTGCGCCAGCAGGCCGAGCGCGAACGAGCTGACGACCATGTTGGCGGAGAGCCACTGCGGGACGAATTAGCAATTGTGACAAAGGGGATGAGGGATATGGGGACGCACCATGGTGCCCACGTTCGCCAGCGACGTATCCGTCCGCTCGTTCTCCGGCACCCGCTCGATGCCGCGCTGCTCCACGCCATACTTGCCCGCGAGGCGCTGCATGCGCGCATACAACCCATTGCCATACTCGAAGGACTCTCCAGGGACGGCACCATCCTCGGTCACAACGTGGGGCTCATGGCCCTTCTTCTCGAGATCGTGGTCGTAATGGCCAGACATATCGAAGGTCTCCTCCTGGGAATCCGCACAGAGGCAGTAGGCAGGGGGATTTGGAGATCAAAGACCCAAAAGCTCGAACCCGCAAAAGGCGATTGTGGGGTTGACGAAAGCCGAGCCAAGAAGATCGCGCTCGAAGGGAGATATAAACGGTACACAAGGGTCGCTAACGACACAGAACCAGCCACTCGCCACGCGCTCAGCAAAGATTAGAGGCTGCGAAAAAAAAAAACCAGGAAGTCCAGCGTGTCAGGGATCAATCGCAGTTCACATCCTTTCCCCGCAGCGGGACCCAGCCCATGAAATACGCTCTTCACGTTTCCTCGATCGCGCGCCTCAGCGCGCTAATCCGCGCGGCCGCGGGCGCTCGCCGCCATCCTGCGATAAGGTGGGAGGTCGGCGTGGAGGGTCGAAAACGCCATGGCATGCGGCATGGAGAGCCGATGCCATGAATGGGCATCCCGGCGCGCCACGCCGCCCTGCATCGTGAGCTCCCAAGCGCAAGACCTCCGTCCAGGATACCGGGGAGAAGCGCGAACAGCGACGGGCGAGCGGGCGAGCGGGCGGGCAGATCGCCAGGCCTATCGTCACCATTTGCGGGGAACTGCCAAAACGGGCGGACATGCCCGGCCGAGCTACTCAGATACCTTGAAGGATGAGCGTGAGTCGCGGCGCGCTGCCGACTCACTCACAACGCTCTCACTCGAAGTCATTATTGCGGGATAGAATGGAGAGGCGAGACGAGTATCTCCATGATACCCCCATGCCACCTCCGGGGAAGCTAAGCACCCCGCCATCTCTTGTCCTGGCGCACGCCGCGCCCCGCTAGCAAGCTCGACCGTCGCCGCGATAAGCTTGCGGTGCTTGTCGGCGGCGTGGCGCGGGTGGCGCGCGGGGGTGTTATCGCGGTTGACTTCGAGGGGAGTAGTGAGGGAGTGAAGAACAATGAGATGCGCGACGAGTTGCCCTTTGCGCACTGGGGCGTGCGAGCTGAGGTTCAATCAGAGGGGAGAGAGGGTGTGGTGCATGAGGCTACAGAGCAGGGGAGGTGGACGAGGGTTGCGCGATGGTCGCATGCATAAGGTTCCTCGGAGCCAATCACGTTCCTTTCCTGGCAACAACGTCCAGCAACGTCGGGGGGCAGGTCGCTATCAAGCGAAAAAGAAGCGACACATTCCATCACCACATACGGTACTTTCTGGCCATGGAGGGCCCAGACTCTGGAGTTGCATCGCGGCGCATGGTGCGAACAAGCGCTTACCGCCGATATGGATTCCCAGTGTTGTTGGCTGAGGAAAATTACCGTAAGCGGCCGAGCGGAAATGCCCGATGGGGGCGGGTGGAGCCTGCCGACGATCTTGGAATAGGTGACATGCCGCCGTTTACGGTACTGTACTACGTTCCAGGCGAGTGGGGTCTGCCGACGATTCTAATCGTGATGCTATGCGTGTGTCGAGCAACAGTAAAGCGGGGAGTCGACGCATGAAATCGGAATCAGGACAATCGTGTCTATCTTGGGGTTCGTGGTATTCCCTCCGAGAGCAATCTTGGTCGATCGGGAGATTGAATTATGTCACTGCGCATGCACGGCATGATATCAGTATGCCATTTACCGTGCTAATTGAGCTTGATGAAGGGAGGAGGTGCCCGAATGAGACTGCGCTTCTGCGGGCATGTACGACGTCTTATCGGGAATTGTGTCTAGATCCATTCTTCTTCATTTCCGCTTTGGACTGGTGAGTCCGCGGGCACCGCGTACGGCATCCCGGAGTCTTACGACTGCGGCTACTTGCCTACTTGCTTCCCTCTCATGACAATCTTCCCCTGGCTGCCTCCCAATCGCTCACCGAACTCCCGCGAGCGCATTGTACAGTACCGCCCAGACTAGATCCTCAACCCGACACACTGTCACCTCCCCAGTCCCACCCGACAGCCAAGGTCTTGACCTGTGCCGAGAAGCCACCTTACCATGGCAGCGGTGCAGTCCCATGACGGCGATGATTGTCGAATCCTCAATGTACCAAGTACAGCAGCAGGTATCACCTGAGCATCGTCCATTCGCCCATAAACATCTGTCATCACCCATCGCAAGTGTCCACACCCACGCCTCATGAGCTTAATCGCTCACCGCGGTACCCATAGTTCTTCTCCCTCCGCCTCCGCATCATCTCATCTCGGTCCCTATCCTCAAGTTCATCCCGCAACGCCTCATCCACCTCCTCTCGTATCCTCAGATGATCAATCGGGATGCGGCTCATCTGGACGCTCGGACCACCCTTGATATACCGTAGCTGCTCCTTGTTATGGGCAATCAGGTTGTCGAAGTAGGACTGGTCGTTCATGTTTGGATGAATCTTGCCCTGGATATTGCTGAGCGAGGGATAGAGCAGGCCGTCGCCGTTCTCATTCCCCGTAAAGGCCTGTCGGTAGGGCACGTGCATCGGCAACTCGTTGCGCAGCTCCACGTCCGCGGCGATGGAGGTCTCATGCGTCCAGCAGCGCGCCACATTACGCGGCGTGTACCCGCCCCCGCCAACGATCATCATCTTGCGCCCGTGCGCGCGGCTCTTGACAAACTCGACTGCGAACCCGTGCGCGCGGATATTGATGTTAAAACTGCCGAGCCGGTCGCCGCCCAGGCTGTCCGCACCGCATTGCAGCACAATGGCGCCTGGATTGTACGTGTCGATCGCGTCGCCGGCGATTTGCCGAAAGAGCCGCTCCCACTCGGCATCCTCGATGCCATCTCGTAGCGGCACATTAAGACTATGGTGCGCGCCGGGATTGTGCGATCCGCGGGGACCCGTGTCTTCCAACGCGCCCGTGCCGGGGAAGAAGGTCTCGCCGTACTTGTGGAAGGAGAGCGTGAGCACGCGGTCGGTGTAGTAGAACGCTTCCTCGACGCCGTCGCCGTGGTGCACGTCGATGTCGATGTAGAGCACGCGCGGCGTCACGAGCAGTAACTGCTGTATCGCGAGGACAATGTCATTGATGTAGCAGAAGCCGGCGCCTGTGCCCTTGTGCGCGTGATGCAGTCCGCCGGACCAGTTGATG